GCGGCATGTGAGGAGGGCAACCTATCATCGCCCCGCCCCTCCCGCGCCCGCCGCAGAAGCCTAATTCCAGGCCTCAAGGACCGCTCCATCGGCCCGGCCTGCCCCTCTGAGCCGTCCAGCCCGTCCCCTCGCGGTCCCCTCCACTCGGCTGACGTGAAAGAAGACCATACTTGACGCGCTGCAGCAGACCGCGGGGGCGGGGGCGGGACTGGCTGACTGTGACCGGCCCTCGCTTCGCCATGTCGAAGAAGACAAATAATATTCTCTAGATTCTTTGACTCAATATTCTTTTTAAAAACCGAATTGCGAAAAATTGGTTTAAACAATCGTACAGATGACCTTATTTGACGAAATAATGATGGTTGCACGGAAATGAAAACTGGAACGGCAAGCGGCAATCTTAGGTTAGTCAAACGAGAAATTTGTCATTTCGGCTACTGCTCGAGAGACAAGCAGTTGACTGTCTACTAATACAAAGTGCGCAGCAAGTAAGTGACTGCCATGCCACCCATTTGGTGTCCCCTCTTAATCGTCACCATCTCACGCTCCAGTTTCAGACTCCTCGCGGGCGGCGCGGGCGTGTGAACAAACGATGCAGGGAGAGGGTTGGAGGGAAAGAGAAGGGAAGGGGGTGCGCTGGAGAGAGACCCCCCCCCCCTCACACACCCACAACCCAAAACGCTCCTTACAGCTCTGCAGCGGTCCGCCGCAGACGGCGCGCGCGCCGCACGCCGCCGAGGCGCACATCATCGGCCACGCCATGTTTGCATTGAAAACAGGATTTGCTATTTCCAGTGGGTGTTTGCCCAGCCACGGCCGCGGGCCGGCCCGGCGCGGCGCGGCGCCCGCCCCGCCACACTGCCCCGCCCGGCCCCGCCACTGCCCCGCTCCTCCTAGATCACCATGGTATCGCATCGGCGTATACAGCTAAGTTAGTGCCTTTTAATGTGCTCAACTGTACGAGGTGGCTGATTCACACCTTTCACTTTCGTTGTTATACTGTGCCGCATGCACCGGTGCGGGTGGGTTATCTACTCGCACGTGCGAGTCGACAACCCGCGCGCACGCGTGCATGCGGTACAGTATGACTACGAAAGTGCACGGCGTGAATCAGCCACCTGGTATCTATGCACTGGAGCATTCTAATAAGAGTCTTTTCAAGGCACACGGCGGAGCCCTGCCCTTTTGGCTTATTTTGAGTTTCCGCAGTGTTCGTGCGAAGCGAAATAATAGGGTCACAACAAACGGACGCGGCGCGACACACTCCATGACGAGTCGCACCTGAGAGGGCCGTCTCGTACCTCCTCGTCACAGACTTCTTGTCCGTGACGGCGGCGGCAGCAGCGCGAGGCTCGAGCGTGGGGGGCAAAGTCTGGCCGCGCCTCGTCTTATTGGCGACGACAATAAAGACGGGAAATCTGCCAAAGACGACGATAATGGTATGATAATAACCTGGCCGCCTCCGGAGGGGCAAGAGGCAGAGATCGCCTTCCTCCGGGTCCACCTCCGGGTCCTCCGGGTCATCACAATGGCGCGACTAGTCCGATTCTATGACTGTGTGGCGGGGCGGGGC